AACCGCCCTTTATAAACCATCAGTTCTCATGAGATGTATTCACTATCACAAGAACAGCATGGGAAAAAACCATCCCCATGATTCAATTACCTCCCACTGGGTCCATCCCATGATATGTGGGGATTATGGGCACTACCATTCAAGATGAGATTCGGGTGGGGACACAGCCAAACCATGTTACAGGCACTGAGCCCCATGATGCTATGAACACAGGGATAAATAATGTATGACCCCAACACTGACTTTGCTCATGGTCTGGAGGAAGAGGAAGTAAATAAGCAAGTGCCTAAGAACATGGCAGTAGCTAGTGATCTCAGGCAGGTTGGAATCATAGTTGAGAGTGAAGGGCAGCAACCACACTGCAGGAACTTGAGGAGCAAGCAAAAGTTGGAGTTAGGAGATAGCAAATATAGCACACTGTTAAGAAACTAAAATGGAGAAAGAAGGAAGGAGAAGGAGAGGGAGATCCAGAGTCATCAGAGGCATGTGTGTGTGTGTGTGTGTGTGTGTGTGTGTGTATGTATATTTGTCTGGGGCCATATTTATAACCTGAAAAAAAGAACTAGTAAACAGGGAGTAATTAAACATCAACATGACAAGGGCAGCCATTGTGCAAGTTCAGTTGTCAGAGTTGACTGATAGGTGTGTAGATAGCTCCCCTGACATTTACATCGGGGTGGAAAGCCACAGTGGACATTAGGACAAAGGGGCAGTTCCAGAAGTTCCTATTCTAGGGATACAGCCAGACCCTCAGCACCTCCATGGGGGATGGACGTTATTCACAGCCCTGAAGTCACCCGTGAAGACAGCAGGAACCTCCCGAACTCTTCTTCTTTGGGGTAGAGGGCCTGACAAACTACAGCCAAATTTATTTCTTGTTTTGTTTTTTTTGGTGGTGTTGCTTTTCCTTGGGAACTGGCACATTTTGCATTGAGGTTTACACAAAGCAAAACAGCTCCAGTGTCAAATGGAAATCCAGCAGGCTCTTCTCAAGATGTACTGTTCCTTTGTACAGGCTGCCGACTTGGGAGAGGGGGCCCAGGACATAATGCCTATGCCTCTTGGGAAGCATATACAGACAATGGTCTGTGTGTGAAAAGGGGAACAGATTAACCAGGACCGGGGTATCTCCCAATTGCTTTTCTTAAAGAAAGACTCTATTGCCAGGAAGCAAAGCACACACAAAAACAATACCTAAGCTAACAGAGTACTGGCTTTAATATACTCAGAAATAACAGAACACGGGCAGGCTACAACTTTCCAAATCCCCTTGAAAATCCTTTGCCAGAGCAGAGATGGTTTGTCAAATCTATACTCTTTGTTTAATATGTTTGTTCTTTTGTTTGATCAAGGGGGGAAGCCGTCTAACTCATTATATTGGGGGAGCTGCATTCATTCCTTTGTGCTTCTTTTTCTTCTTCTAATCTTTATTAAAATCAAAAGAAGAGCCACTCTAATCCTTCAAATGATAATTTATTTCTCAACCTACAAAGTCAGAGTCTTCGCTATTATTTTAAAAACAAATCAATGCAACAATTTTAATTAAAAATGAAACAGGGTGAACCTAAAAAAATAAATAGGCATTTGTTAGATCAACGAGCAAACTTGTTTACAATTAATGGGCAACAGGGCTCCCGGTGATAAAGAAAGGGTTTTAAAGCACCAGAATGTTTCACTGCAGTTGGTAAATTCTCTGGACTTTTATTTGAGTCTTTAGAGAGAAAAACACATCTAGAAGTCTCCTAATGAAATGTCCTGACCCTGGGAAATTTATGCTTCAAAATGTGCTCTACCCATCCCCCCAACTGCCCCCCACTCCCATCTCTGCCAACCACTTCCTTGGCTAGAAGACTCAGTGGGTTCTATTTTAGCTGGGGTTATTCATCTCAGATAGGAGAGTAGGTTTGGCATTCTCACAAGGAAAAAAAAAAGGCTCTGTATTAATTAAGGAGACATGCATTGGCCTGCTCGTTGGTGGGTGGGGCTGGTGGAGTGGACTGATGATCTTTAGGAAGCCTCAGGTTTCTCAAGCAGCAGAGAAAACCACACGTATTAGGAAGTGGACGTTCTCCCAAATACCATTGAGGAAAAAAAAAAAAAGTGATTTCCTTAAAGGAAAGCTAATGGAAAATGAACTTGAATATGTAAATTTATTCAGTGTGCATTTTTTATTGAGAAGCTACTGAGTTCCAGCAATGGCATTTAGGATTGAATTTCAAGAGATGATCTTTCAATTGGTTTACAATGGTCCAGCAGTCTCCCAGCTCTCTCTCTCTCTGTGGCAAGCCTGAAAAGAGGAGTCACAGAATCTAAGTTTATGGTTCAGTGGAGGAGGCAAAGCATGTGATGAAGGCTGTGGCAGACATGGATGCTAAGTGCTGTGGGAGGGGACATGGAGGGAGAGAGAACCTCCTTTGGAGTCACCTGTACCTCTGGACTAAGGCAGGGAAAGTTGTAGGGAAGAGGTGCATTTCAGATGGGCTCTGAAGAATAAGTAAGACTTAGGCGAGTGGATGTGGATGAAGAAGAGCATTCGTGGTAGACCAATATGAGCAGGCTTAAGTACTGTTAAGAATGTAAGAATGTAGAAGAGTGGAGGGATGAGAGGCAGATGGTTATAATGTTTGTTTGTTTGTTTGTTTTTCCCCTCATAAACTCCTATTCCTCCTTCCAATGTTAACTTAAGCTTTATCTCTGAGAAGCCTTCCCTAAGCTCCCCATCTTGGTTCTGGAGACTCCCTGCACAGTACTGTGTGTCACTTGTTGATTCCCCTACTAAACTGTGCCCCTTAACCTGCTCAGTCTCTCTTCCCTTCATCCCCAGCACCACAGTGCCTTGAGAAGTGGACTGAGCAGGAGGCCAGGGTCAGATGCTCAGATTTTCAGGGCCAGGGTGGAATGAGATTAAACACCTCTGTTAATGCTGGAGCAAAAAATGCAACTGAAGTGGGTTTGTGTCTAAACTCCTTATGCGGCCCTGCACACTGTGACTGGTTGCCCAGGTACCCCTTCAGGAATCAAGAATTTGTCACTGCCTGGAAGGATTTCTGTGGGAAGCTAGCCCTCAACTGTTAGCCCCTGCAGGGTCTCAGCTGAAGAGATGACCTGACCCAAGTTCACACACTCTTTCAGAGCCATCTTCATCCAGTGACTGATTGTCAGGGTGTTTATATGCTCAAGCTTCTCAACCTAACATTCGACAGCTCTCAAAAGCCATCATCCCATCTTCACAACTTCCTGTGGGACATTGTGAACTCCTGTGCATCAAGACTACACCACACCTTGACTTCTCTCTCTGCCCAATAGATCCTGCTTTCTTCTCTTCCCTTCCAAGGTCTTAATCCTAAGAGCCCTCCCTAGCAGATTTTCTCCATGCTACTCTCTATATCAGGATCTGCTTCTGAGACAATCCAACCTATTATAGCCTCTTGAGGGTCCAGCCTCAGGGAACCCAGGGTTGACCCATCACAGTCACACTTAGGATACCTGGTAGGTTTGTTTTTTGTAAAAGCAGATAATTTGAGAGGAATTGTAAACAATAAGTCTTGTGAACATGACTATGTTAACAAATCATCAGAAAAAGAATTAGCAAATTAAGAAAAATAGCATCCAGGTCTGGTAATTTCGTAAGTGTTCTATTCTGGAGACAATAAAAATTAGTATAGATCTTCTAAAAAGCAATATGATAACATATCAAGAATTATAAATCATTCCAAATGTGGAATTTATCCTGAAGAGATCATTAAAAAGAATAAAATGAATCTATACAGGATAATGTTCTTTGTAGCATTAACTCGAAGGAGAAAAAAAGATGTGAAAAACCCTAGCTATCCAACATTAGGGACAATAATACTGTGGAACGATCTGCAGTGATAACCATGAAGACTAAATGAAAAGCACAAAGCACTTATGATATAAGTATAGGGGAAAGAAGCAAACATTTTAAAAGTTCATTATGACTACCTAAAGTCTAAGTGGATTCAGATAAAGTAAATAAAAGGAGATAACACAAAATGATTTTGAATGATTTGTTTTCTTTTTCCAAATTTTAGTGTCATTACATTCTTCCCTTTAAAAAATTTAACTAACAGATTATTTGCATGATTTGACATCTAGTCTTCTTGCATGAGCAAAAGGGAGAGTAAATATGAAAGAACAGAAAACCAGACCTCAATAATATGAGGCTAGAATGTGATATGACCTTTCCCTGCCTGCAACTTTCTGAAAGAGATCAAGGTCTTGAAGTGGATGGATATAATTTGACAGCTGCTCTTTGAGCCTGACTTCAAGAAAAGAATGAAGTCATAATTCTCAAGGGGTATCCATGGTTTTTTTTAAAATTTATTTAATTAATTTATTTATTCATTTTCTGAGACAGTCTCGCTCTGTCACCAGGCTAGAGTGCAGTGGCGTGATCTCAGCTCACTGCAACCTCCGCCTCCCGAGTTCAAGTGATTCTCCTGCCTCAACCTCCTGAGTAGCTGGGACTACAGGCATGCGCCACCATGCCCAGCTAATTTTTGTATTTTTACTAGAGACGGAGTTTCACCATGTTGGTCAGGATGGTCTCCATCTCTTGACTTTGTGATCCACCCACCTCGGCCTCCAAAAGTGCTGGGATTACAGGACTGAGCCACCGTGCCCAGCCTCTGTGGTTTAATTAAAAGAAGTTCTGGTTTTCAGTCTACTGGGACCAAAGAAAATTACTCTTCCACATACCATCTCCTGAATGCACATTTAGTCAATCCCCTTTATAGCAGAAGAGACATCTCCAGCCTTCTTAAGAGAACCCCTTCAGGAATCCCTTCATTCCATGATTCTTGGACTCCTGATTCTACCTTGCATCATGGTACCTGGACTGTATGACCTTGTTTCCCGGACTCTCCTTTAGATATGATACCCCGAGTAACAACACGTGTTATCATCACAGCTTCCAGTTATTTGGTATTTCTCTGTGTTGAGCACTGTGCTTAGCTTCTTATCTATATTTTCTTATGCAGTCGTTATAACAACCCTATGACTGACTATTATTATTCCCACTTGGAAGATGAAGACACTGAGGTTCCAGGAAATGAAAAACTCAGTGCAAAATCATAAGACCAGAAGTGTTCAAGAACAAGATTCAAACCAGGTTTGTAACCAACAAAAACTGTCTCAGTCACCATGCCTGGAGATCATGATTCCATAAAAGTCAACATTCTGCTCTTTCCACTGAGGAACATTTCGGGAAATTCCCTTCTGTCATTTGCCTTAAAAACTCCATAATTCTTGGGAGACACAACTGTTGCTTTGCAAAGCTGTTCTATTAAATATGCATTAGACTGCTTAGCTTGTCCTGAAAATGAGTTAGTCACCTTTCTCTTTTTTTCCTCACTCTGCATCTTTTTATACAAGGAACTTGTTGACCCTGCCCTGGTATGTGCACGATAGAGGGCAGGGAAGAGAACAAGCAGAAAAGGGAAAGAAAATATGTGGGGATGAATCTAGCTCATGTCCAGAGACTTAAATGGGAATGCCCTGTGGAAATGAACTGTGAAGGCCTGGCCAACAGGGCTGTCTGTCTAGTACCTTCTGCCTTCTGTGTAGCTTCACAAAATAATTATCATAGGTTAATCAGGTCAGCAAACTTGCCGGGCACTGACAAGCCGGGCAGTCTCAGGTGTGCTCTCAGTGGGCAACCGTGAGGGCTCTCTGGCTGCTCAGATGAGCAAGTCAGCTGGGAACAACTGATCTGCTGAGAAATCTGATGGCTGCCCCATAAGGGGAACCAGGTCGCTAGGATCGCTGGGTGAAGGCTGCTCACCCTTCAAATAGTCTAACCCTCTGTGATCAGGCTGTTTTAATCCCCACATCTCCAGACTCTCACAAATCTGGAACTGGTTTCTAGTCTAAGGTCCTGGCAGGGATAATGTGTTTAATTGGCTTTAAGGCAGAAAACACAAAGTACACGACATGCAGCAAAGTTAGTTTTGTAATTACAGAAAGTCCGATGCCCTTCAGAAAGGTTACATGGGGGTATTTCTCCAAGATGGATTGTGTTTTGTTCTGTTTTGGGTGGTTTGTTTTTTGTTTTTGTTTCATGGTGTTTTTATCTACTGCATAGAATTCGGGGGGAAAAACCCAGGATTTTAAATGTGGACAGGAATTTAAATCCTTGTTGGGCACATAGCAGCTATGGTACCATGGGCATGATACCTAACCTCTGTAAGGTACAATGGGGATAATTATATTCCCCTCTTAGGGAGGTCATGAAAATGAGTTGAGATAAAACATATGAAAGCACCCAGCACTGGCATGCTCAGTCCATATTAGTTTCTCATTCTCTTCATTATTTTCATTATCATCATTGTCACATTCTCACCTTTTTTCATCATTGTCAGTAGCAGTCGCATCAACCCAGTGTCCTGACTTTCAAGACAACCATGAAAACGCCCCAACTGCTGCTAAATTACCAGCAACAAGGATCTGGTGAGTAAGTTATTTTGGGGAAGTCAGGTCTTGTCAGCGTGCGTCGAGTTTCTTGCAGTCCTGTGTGTCAGTCTTTCTTAAACCCCTCAGATACCCAGAACCTCTCTGTCTACTAAAAAGAACTGAACTATTAATGTCCCTCATAGAAGAAGAAAGGGAAACCGGCTCCTGTAAATGTGGGTCAGGAATCACCAGGGAGGTAATGACTTGGTCTGCTCTGTGTTCTCTGGCCCTCCTTGGTCCTTCCATGAAAGCCCTCTGTCAGGAGCCCTGCGTGGCCATGGAGTGATTGCCCTTTTGTTCTACAAATTCCTGGATATGACTCACAGAACCGTTTAAGCACGTCTCTCTTCATGTTCCTAGGAATTTTCTTGACAAGAGCAGTGCCTATCCTGAGGCAATCGTATTTCTCCTTGACTTCTCTCCAGTATCAGCTTGTTGCTTGACACCACTGCACAGCCAACTGTATAATGTGGGTGAGTCTAGCTGCATTTTCCTCAGACACAAGCCTGGCTGCCCACTGCTAAGGTGACATCAGGCCAGGCCACAGTGAATCATTTATCCTCCATGCCTTCCTCTCCAGCCCTGAGTGAGGTGGAGTCCTTGAAACTATCACCATCCAGTGGAAATCAGTGCTGCACTTTCAGGAGGTTAAGCATGAAAAGAGCATAAAAGGTGTTATTACCCCGTGTCTCAGTAATTACCCTTCTGGAAACCTTTTCTAAGGAAATGATGTGAAAGGATTTGGTCATAGTGGCTGGTAGTTACTGAGCACTCACCATGTGCTGACACTGTTATAATTGCCGGGTATATATTGACTTATTTAATCATCATAACAACTCCAGGAGGAAGCAGTCAGGTTATCCCCATTTTTCAGATGAGGAAACCAAAGAACAGTGAGACAATTGTATCTATATTCATGCTGCTTAAGTGTGTAAGAGCTGAGAGTGAGCCCAGGTGGTCTGATTTCACAGTCTTCACTCTTGATTTCTATACTAGTGTGGCCTCTATGCACAAAGCTTGATATAAATAGAAGAGGAAGAAGAAAAAGAATGAGGAGGGATGGGAGAGAAGGATGAAGGGGAGAGGGAGAACAAAAGGAAGGAGAAGAATAGGACAGGGAGGAAGATTTAGAATAAAAGTTAAATTTATTGTTTATGATCGTGAAAATCTGGGCTAGGGCCATTTGGGCCAAGTATGCTGGCATTCCAGGTACCCAGGGTATTCTGAAGAAAGAGAGGTCTGTGGGTTCTATGCACAGCTGCCTTGTCACCCGCTGGGGAGGAGCACAGTACTGAGAGTGGGGCTTACGTTTACAAAGTTGGTATGAAAATTAATAGGCATCTACATTCCTAGAGGTCAATAAATAGAGTGAGAGTTGTTTGTTTGCTTGCATATTGGAATGGAGAAAAATATGTCCAGTCCTAATAAACTTTAAAGTACTTCTGCTCTTCCCTTCCTCCTAAATGCTTTCATCTGTCCACATTACTATGGGAATTTTTTGATGCTGTCAAATGAGTCACTTATAATGGGAATTTTTAAAATAATTATGTTGCTATGTCAAAAAATTTGGAAATTAAAAGATGTTGTTTTACATTTTTGGCACAAAATACCCCAGGTTCAATCTTCTCAGAAAAATATGAGGCACATCTATCTAATAACAAAAAGTTTTCAGAATGGTTATCCTAGTGATTCTCTTTCTGAAAATTTACTATAGTGAACTAATTGACAAGGGGAAAACAATTTTTCACAGGAAGATAATCCAATATCACTTACAACAATAAATATTAGAAATACCTCAAATGTCCAATAGGGAAATAGTTAAGTATCTTAGGAATATCCCCTCCGTGGAATAGTGTGCAGTCATTGGCGATAATAATTTCAAAGACAAAATGTGGCAAATTGAGAAAATGGTTGAAAGTAAAACACACACAAAAAAATTATATAGATATTATTACCATCAAATGATATACATTTTTGCATATAGACAGAGATATATTTTTTGCATGTAGACAGAGACTGAAAGGCTGTACAGAAATTAAATCAGATTAAAGATGATGGAATTCAAGATAGTTTTGTTTTTATATGCTTGTTTCCACATTAAATATTACAAATTTACAGATCCAATGATAAAAGGACAAAGGATCGTAATGGGTACAGTGCAAGAGGAAGTCTTGGGACAAGCAAGAAGATAGACAGGAAGCTGTTGCCCTAATCCAGGTATGAGATCCTGGTAGTGAAGTTGAACAGTGATAGTAAGGGGAGGATTCTAGAGATAAGCTATAGTCAGTGAGAGTGAGAGGGAATCGCTGATATTCCAAAGTTTGTGACTTGAGCCTAACAATAGAGAATAACAGTAGAGGAACAGGACTAGAGAGAATTTAGGAACGTTATATGTGGAGACATTCTTTAAGCGATATCCAGTTGGAAGTTGGAATACTGTTTTGGAGCTCACAGCAACGTGTGACTCTGGTCCCCCAGTGTCTATATGTGCAGAGGATGGTTTTGTATCCAAATAGAGATCTGAGCTCAAGGTAATTCTTAATATACAAAATATAGGGCTCAGGCCACCATGTTACAGGTCAAGACTCATCTTCGTGATTGCCAAACTTAGAGTTCTGTATTTGTTTTCTTTTGCCACATATTACTCCAAAACTTAGAAGCTTAAGCATTTGCAATCTCACAATTTCTGTGGGTCAGGAATCCAGGTGGAGCTTAGCTGTTTGTCTCTAACTAAGAATCTCTCAAAAGGGTATAGTCAGGGTGTGAGATAGGGCTGCAGTCATCTCAAGAGTAATCTTGGAGAGGATCTATTTCCAGGCTTCCTCATGTGGCTGTTGGCAGGCTCATGTCCTCACTGACTGTTTGCCAGTGACATCAGCTCCTTACCATTTGGACCTCTCCCTTGAACACTTTGAAACATGGCAGCTGGCTTCCTTCAGAGAGAGAAAGAGAAGGGAGAGAAGGAGAGGGAGAGAGAACCCAAGACAGAAGTCACAGACTTTTTATAACCAAATATCAGAAAGGACATTCCAGTACTTGTGCTGTATTTTACTTGTTACAAGGGAAATGATAAGTCTTTCACATTGAAAGACAGAGAATCACAGATGGGGAGGAACAGCAGGGGGTGGGGATTATTGGGGACTATCTTAGAGGCCTCCTACCACCAGTTCTGTGGAGGTAAATTGAAGTTGTTCCACACCATTACCACCAGCACCATCACTGCCATCTTCACCATATTCACTCACTACTTACTCTTTTGAAAAATATGGAGAAGTTGATTTTTGCAGAACTGCATAAAGTTAGCCTTCAAAGATCTCTTCAAAGCTATGTAGCTCAGAAACAGTAAATGCAGTGCAGCAAGCATGTTGCCATTCTCCCCTTTCATGCTGCTGTCAGACATAACTAATCATCCAATTCCCCCTCCCATATCCATGCTAGGCATAACTAATCATTTAAGGCCTTGAATGTTGTGAGCATGCCCAAAGTCTTGAAGTAAATAGCAAAACTGATATTTGAATTCTGATCTGATGCCAATGTCAGTTCTGTTCCTATTACTCACTGTCTACCTTTCAGCTCCACTCCTGGCAAGTTGTTTTACAGCTCCATTTCCTATGCAGTGTGACTTAACAATTCTAATATTCGGGTGGTTGTGTGGTGAGTGTATATGTATATACCCACTGGCACATTCTGTTGATTAGAATTGGCAAAACAGTAATCCAGATCACAAGATCACACATGTACACACACATACATATAGATGTACATGTATATTTGTATATATTTTTCTTTTTCCAGAAAGTGATTATGCCATTCTCATCCAATCTAGTCAACCCACACCAATGTGAACACTAGCGAATTGTTCTTGCCAGTAGTGGAATGTGCAATGTGCCCAAGGAAATTGTCTAAATTTTAAAGGACAGAGACCAAAACAAAGTGTTCACTGCCTATATCCCACTTACTTAGAATAGGGTCTACCATGCAACGTGCCATAAACATTTGATGAATTAGTATGTGAATGATTACAGGAATGAAATCAGCTATTTTTCTACCATTAGTCATTCAGGTACCACTTCACAGGTTTTGCCATACACCTGTGTTTTTTGAACTTAATATTTCTCTTTAAATCTATTCATTTTAAACCTAAATAATTTTTAAACAGAACCTGTAACTTGCTATCATCAATCAAAAAAGAGTTCTTTTTAAATGACATAGCATATCTATTTTACAACATCCACAAATCACCTAGAAATCATCTTGTTTAACACTAGAGGTGAGTGTACTGCACTAAACAAATGGATGTAAATTCCATAGCATGTGTCCATGTTTGGTGTCTGAGAGATGGCTCAAGAAGGCCTTTAAAGAGCCGTTGGCAATGCCTGCCAGGAGCCTGGCAAGAGTAATTGCTCTCTTTAACCCTGGGAGAGATTATTTTAAAGTCTGTGAAATATCAGTGGAATTGGAAGAGGCGCAGTCAAGGCAGTGGCAGATGAGAATCCATTAAAACATTCTGTAGGGAGGCTGTTCTCACTTCCTGCCAGGGTGCTAGTCACATTCACTCATTCACTCATTCATCCAGTACCTTTTCAGATACTACCATGAGCCTAGTCTTGAACTAGGTTCACATGAAGACCAAAAGGAATAAGGCCCAATGCTTGTCCATCAAGAGCTCAAGCTAGAAGAGAAGTGAGAAGTACAAAACAAACAAAAACCCTTCATACTCTTATAAATTATTTAATAGGGTCATGCATAAGATGTTTAAAATACTGAGAAAGCAAATGCCACTGCCTCAGAGGATACAGAGAAGAGGTAACACCTGTTCCTCGTTACAAAGAACGGGTATGTAAGGGCGCTCAGAGCAGAAAACAGAATGGGTAAAGGCCTTGGAGGTGAAAGACAATGAGCATGACATGTGTGGCTGAAGCATTAAGAACCACTGGGCAATAGCAGTGGGTGTACCAAAGGAAGTGGAAGGGGTAGAGGTTAACTGTGAGAGTATGG